AATTAGCATCGTTAGCTTTCATTATTCTAAGCATGGAACTGCAAGAAAAAGTCATAATACCACAGTTTGGTAAATCTTCTTGTTAGCTATTTTGTGTACTTTTCTTGCAGTTTTATGCTTAGAATTATGAAAACTAATGGTCCTAATTTTTAAAATAGTGCTATTACATTACAAGCCATGAGAATAAAAGATTATTTCCCCCTATAAAGGAATGGATTTAGCTACAGCTATCCCTCCCGTGACGTGACGTCACGTTTAGCCACACCCACCGACAGGAAGTAACCTGGCAGAAAGGAAAAATGGGCATTTTTGAAGGCTCATATCTCAGTGAATAAATTTTTTTAGACAATGGGAGTTGGAACACATCATTAGTATGGTTAGGCAATCATATTAAGCAAATAAAAAAAATATCTCAAAAATGCACTGAAGTTACCCTTTAATGTTAATATAATTTGTGTATAGTTAATGAATATCTTCAATTGTGAAGTGATACACATACATGTGCATGTGTGGCTGGGAAAAATGAATGTAGTCTATTTAGTATATCCTATACTAATGACAATTGTTTGTTTATTATTATGTGTTTAGGTAAGTATTTTCCTACTCTTGAAGTGGGTATGCAAGGTAATGAAATGATTGATACTAACTATAATAACTAATTCACAAAATTTAGATACATCTCCTTCTGATGGAGCAGTTGCTAGTAATTCATCTTCACAGCCTTTATCGCCTCCAGGTATTCAATACATGTGAACGACATATACTATAGAACCTTTCATAGCTGCAGTACAAGTTCCTGTTCCAAAAGGCTTACTGGAGGACTTTACCTCAATGAGAATGTCTTATGGAAGCATGTTTTACCATGTTGGCATTATTTTTAAACAAAAGCGCTGCTCTCTAAAGAAAATAAAGGAATTCCTGTCTTGCTGTGGTGCTGCTCTTAGTGAAAAAGTAAAGAAGTGTCGTGATATTTCTAGTATCTTGCGCCTAATTCAAAATGAGTGTTCACTGACTAATATTGCACTCCTTCATAGCGTAGTGGAGAAGATGAATATCACTGAAGCAGATGAACACATTAAAGCATATAAAGCAGAGTTAAAAAAATTCTGTGAGACTCTCTCCATCAGTCTTTGTTTGAAGGAAAGATTTGCTTCCATTCCTCCTCTTAAATGTGAAGCAGTTATTTTTGTCCTTGATTGGAAGCCTGAGAAGCTTTTTCTCAAAGATATTGAGGATCTTCTTGCAAAAGCATCTGGTAAATTACTGAAGATTCAGTTTATAGAGCCTTCCGAATCAATATGTGTCACTTGCTCCTTTCCTTTCTCTGATGTTGGGTTTACTGTATTGAGGATGATAGAGAGTATTCATATACTAATGGGACAAGGATTAAAGAAACTGACTATTGGTAACTTAACATTATGGAGGAGACAAGATGTTAGACAAAAGGTACATAATATGAATAATTGAATATTGTTTTATGAATATTGTATTGTATAGGAACTAAAAGAAAAGGATCAAGACTTACTACAACACACTGAGGTCAGTTAATATAATCATTCCTTTTATTAGTTACATTATAGTACCTGTACAATGTAACAATGTGTTGAGTTGATTGTAATGTGTTAATTATATGTACAGGTTATTTCTTATATTATACTTGAAGAAGCTGAATATAAACTAAGAGATACTATCAAAAGCAAAGAGAAGGTATGTCATACTGTGTAATGTATGAAAGTACCAGTTTATACTGCATGTAATCATTTCTCTTGACATTTTACTATAATGTATCAGGGATATAATAGACTACATAACCAGGATTGGCAACGGGATCACGTGAGCGCATCATTTGTGTATAAAGATTTTTCGCAATCTCTGTTATCATTTTCAAGATGGCCGACTCTTCTTGCAAATCACCGATGTTGCTATTTCTCTGTCAACAAGGCTTGTGTCTCTCTCTCAGAACATTAGGCTACCATTACTAAAGGATGAGGAAGCCGCTACTTTCATTTTGAGTGATACTTGACGATGCTGTCACAATGAATTGCTAAATGCGGCCCATTTTCCATTTGTGTACCTCTGCTGGCAAGATAGCTTTGAGTATATGGATTTAATCATATTGTGATTTACCATCTTTTATGTTCATATGAGAATAGGACCAAAAGAATTTATTTAGACCTTTATACTTCGTGATACAGCCGGAAAAGTAATTTTTCAAAGGCCAGTTTTGTGTCCCTGTGGCGGCTTCAGATATGACTCTTTTCTTGTATTATTTTGTAATATAATAGTTCAATGATCGTTGTATGAGAATGTCCTGGTTATTTTGTTATTCTAGTCTTTGTTTATTTTTTACACAATTTTTACACATCAGTGTAGTAAGGCTGTTGTACAGAGCAGAATGGGTTATTAAACCAAAACTATGAATAATTAATTTAAATTTATAACAGGTCTATAAATTGATTTCCGGTCCGTAACCAATCCCAGTTACGTAGTCTATTATATCCCTGAATGTATCATGTATTGCATATAATATCTAGCAATTTTCTGATTTTTGTACCTTATAATTAGGAAGTAGTTGAATTAAAACAAGTACTAGAGGAAGAACCACTTGGTAAAGAGTTGACTACATTGAGGTCTCAGTTTAATGAGATACAAAAAGAAAACAAAGAATTGTCAGACAAATTATCAAAAATGAAGATTGAATATTTGAGATCACTTACTAGTAATACTGATTCAGGTTAGAGTAGTTTTATTAATTATACTAATAATTATGTAATTAATTAAAGCTGCTAGCAGAGTAATAAGAGGAATGACTTTTGAAATTGATGACTGCAAATTTCATCTTGAAGCAATGACAAGATCAGACTATCAGCCATTAGTAGATAATAAAAAATTAATAGAGAAATTACAAGAAAGGATAACATTAATGAATATTGAACTAATGACTGAAAGAGAACACAATGAGAAGATTATAAAAGATATGAAAGGTTTTATTGATGATGTGTGTCATCATTTGATTGTTGATATTTGAACAGATCATTTGAAAAAGATTGAGGAGAAGAGACAGAGAAAAAAGAAACAAAAAACTGAAGAAGAGATGTGTACAGTAAGAGTGAGACTGATTATAACTTATAAGTATATACTACATGTACACGTGTATCTTGTCTTTTATTTTAGATTTATTTATGTTGTAATCATCCTGTTACTGGTGAATTAATAAACTCATTTCTTGAAGTGCATAAAGATGAATTACTACCCAGTGTACTGGATAAAGCTTATGAGGTTATTATATTAGTTTATTTATTTCTATTTATTCTTTCATTTTTGTTCATTTCTTTATCAGTTAATGAATTTAGCTCCTCATGTTCCTATTGAGAGATGTCGTTTAGTTAAATATGATTATAGGAATAAAGTAATGGAGCAGTCCTTTGACCTTGATGAGGTATAAGTTCTTTTCTATTGTTACAATTATATCTTATCATCATTAAATTTAGTATCAACATCAAACTATTGGACAGATTATGAGTGTGGCTGATTATCGTTATTCTTTTGCATTATTCTTAGAAACTCGTAAAGAGAATGAAACCTTTAAGAAATACAATGAGCAAGGTGAGTGTGGCTGGTTTTATTGCTGGCTATCATAGATAATAGAGTAAATGAAAGGGATTGGAAACTATCGTTCTTGCCTGGTGATGTGGTTTTTGTTACCCCTGGTTACCTGGTTGGCAACGTCCATGTTTATCTGCATTCCCCATCTCCTCCACAGTAGTTGTTGTGCGGAAAGGATCTCGAAGGAATATTGTGTGACTATTAGATAGCGCTTGCTTATGATATATCTTCCTTTCCACGTAGAAAGTTTGTGGCTATCTATAGCAACATTTTTGTTTCTATAGAGCTATTTTTCGACCAGTTATGGGTACACAAAGTCTGAATCTTTTTTGACACTTTTTCGCCTCTACAGCTTTCATGCTTTTGCTATTCTAGCAGTACCTCATATCATTCCATTCTGACAAGCTTTTTAGAGTTTAGCTACAATTGTCTTCATTAGAGAGAGAAAAACAGCAATTTTATGGGCAAAAGCGGTATATCACTCAAAATATTAATTTAAATATACCAAATAAATAATAATTAACAGTGCAAAACATTGAAGTCCTTCATAGTCGAGTTTCTTTTTCATCAGAGCACTCTTCTTGGAGTTATTCTAATTTTAATGGAAAAAATCAAGAATTTTGTGATCAAAAAGAAACCGCCTAGTCAGCAATTTTTTGCTTAGCAACAATGCAATCAAATGGGATTATTGCTACGCCCACGTGGAAGTTTCCAATCCCTTTCATTTACTCTAATATCTATGTGGCTATGTACATATGTTTGATGGTGTAGGTATTAATCTAAAGGTATCAATGGTTGATCTGTCAGCTGGTGAAGTAGGACTAGCTAAACCAATGAGAGGAGAAGAAGGTTGGACTGTTGAAGAATTAAAGCAACATATAGGAGAAGTAAGAGTAAGGATATTGTTCTCCCTCCATTGATCTGGGCCATTTCTTTATTTAGGTATTCAATATCAACCCATCATGTATGAGAATAGTAAAGGAGAAGTATACTGGTATTAGTGATGTTAGTGATGTAGGAGGTACTTTAAAGGAGATACTCAACAAAAGAGACAAAGTTAGATTATAATACAAGTATTAGCATTAATACTTCTTTTATTGATCAATATGCATTCCACTTTCCTCCTCCTCCTCCTCCACACACACAGTCATATACTCAGTTGCTGTATGTATTATCAGATCTTAAAGATTATCAAAAAGAATTCAAAGATAGTTTGATGTACAGATATGTTGATTTTCATGTCAACTTGATAACATTGGACATTACAATGCCCCCAGCTCCTGGACCTATAACCACACCCACTACAACTGAAGGAGGAATAATAATGAAAATTATATCAATAAATGAAGAAAATAAAGGGAGAGAAAGAAGTAATAACTTGTATTATAATAAAAAGAACATTAATCATTGTAATAATTATTCAATACAGAGATGCAGGTACAAGTTAGTAGCAGTATAACATTAGCTCAGTTGAAGGAGGAGCTAGCTCCACTGATTGGTGTACCACCTACTGGTTTTAGAGTGTATAGAATCAGTGATAATGAAGAATATGAAATTGAGGAACTGGAGAAGACATTAAAGTACATGTATATTGAATCTGGACCAAAGGTATATAGTTTATTGTGATTTGATTCACTTCTCCTTTCCATTATACACTACTATAAGTACTAATAACACACACTCACACTCATCTCTTTATTACTTTGTGTATCTACTAGTTGAGAGTAAAACTGGGTAGAGCATTAAGAAGAGGAGAGTACAGAGTTAAATTATATTTATTACAAGTTAACAATACAGAGGTATGAGCTAGAATATTTATTATTATTATTATTATTATTTTATTTAATTTTTAGTTTTGTACTTTTATGATGGAGTCTATTGTTGCTAAGGGTACACCAGTGAGAGAATTTAAGAAACAAATTATTGAAGAAGCAAAAGTACAAGGAATTGACTGTGTCCTTGAATTAGACAAGTAAGTACATCATGTGACTATCATGTGACAACTTATTGTGTAGAATGAGATTACGTTACAAGAAGGGAGTGTACCCTGATACAGTATATCTTGATCATCAGGTGATTGATACTAGTATGGGAATGTATGTGGAACCATTGAAAGGTCAGTATATCTCAGTATATTTTCAGTATACTGTACGTTACATGATGTATAATTTTATTGTTAGTATATTAATTACTATATTATTAGGACCAGAGAAGAAGAAGCATGATAGACAGTCTCAGGTGTATGTTATAAGATGGCATCCATCACAATGTTCAGTTGATCCAATAGAAGAAATTATACTGGATAATAGATATGATCCTAAGGATTTTATTGGAAAGGTATTATTTGAAATAATAGAAATTATAACAAAGAATATGCATTAGTAACACTTTATTATTATTATTATTATTGTTTTACAGCTGTCAGAGTTAAGTGGAGTTCCTGCTAAGTATATCTATCGTACAGGGGTTAGTTATTAAAACATATAAAGATACTCTCTCTCTCTCTCATTCTATTAGAGTCGATTATTTCCAGTTGAGATATCATGTCTTGATATTGAGAATAAGTTGGAATGGTATTCAGTCACTTCAGGCAGATACCCATTAGGACTATATGGTGATGGACATGTCACATATTACAAGTACTACTGAACACACACACACATTATGTATACACACACACTTACATACACCTCTTACTGTTTATAATTATTTAGAGACAATAGAGAGACAATGAAAGAGTTAACAGATGAAGAGAGATCAGAAATACAAGAGGCAGAGGAAGCAAGGTCAGTAAACCTCATGTATCATCATGTACATGTACTATCAGTTAATGTAATACCTCATCACTTATAACCATTTATTGTATTGTAGGTTGAGGAGGATTAGGGAATGCAGATTAAAGCATTGGCATTGATAATAGGACTGACTGAAATGGATTGGTTTAATTTGTTAAATTTCTAAGTGTGATATTAATTCTTATTTTTTGCAATCCTGCAAAAATTACTCTCTATGTAATAAATGTGACCATAATTGACAAAAGGGCCCTTATGGCGGATTTTAAAATTGATCATTATAATAGAAAATATCAACCTGTGAATGCTTTGTTAGACAATCATTGTTTCTAAAAGTTTCATGGTAACTTTTTGCATCCTGTGGAGTAATTTTATGATAAATGGGGCTCAGGAAGTTGGATTTCTTAGGCTAGAAAGACAAATTTCACTACCCGCCATAAGGTACCTTTTGTCAATTATGGTCACAAATTATTTTAAAATGATTTCATAAATAAACTTTTAGTTAATCTTATTTAGTTAGTAGTTCTTCATTGACTCCATTAGTTGCTAGTCCCCAGAGTGAGTTAGCTATAGCCACATGATCACATTTACTGATATCAAATGAAAAGGACTCAATCTCTCCATCATCTCTCCTCATGACTGGCAGCCATTTTGAATTAAGGAATAAGAGAATAATAATAATAAATATTTATAATAAAATAAGTACATGTACATGTACAATATGCTAAAATATAATCATACCATACAGTTCAATGTAATACTGTATAGTGAGGATCTACTTTAGTGAGACGCATGGTTCACATTATGCAACTGTGAAATGAAGGATTTTATTTTGTCTCTGAAATCACTCCATTGTTTTACTGATACATATTGATGT